GTGCCAATTTTAAAAATTATTCTATATTTTATAGGTAGCCAGTGCAAGAGAACAAGATATGGAGATATATGAGAAAAGAAAGGGGCACGAGCAACTAGACGAGCAGCAGAGTTAAAAGCTTTACTTAAAGGATAGAGTATAGAGTCAAGAAGACCATAGTAGAGCGAGTTACAATAATCATTCTTAGATAAGACTAACGAAGTAACAAGAAGGTGAAGAGTAGATCCTAAAAAAGGCAAAAATTGTATTATCCTACATAGAGAAAAGTAATAACTTCTAGCAACACTATTAATCTGAGAAGAAAGAGACATGCTAAAATCAAAGAATAGAAGGAATAGTAATAGAGCGCTCATATTTATTAAAACAAATAATTTCAAATTTAAAAGGATTAAGTTTGAGACACATAGAGTCAGATGATAAATAAATAAAAACATCCCATAGTTAGAAATAAAAAAATTATGGTGATGATGATGATGATAATGGTTATTATTATTATCACTACTATTGTTATTATTTTTATAATTATTATTATTATTGTTATTATTATTATTATTATTTATGCTCGATACATATGACGAAGTGCAGAGTGGTATTAATTATCCTTAATAATTATTTTATTGTCAGCATAATTTTTTTACTTTATATTATATATAATAATGATAATAATAATTATTATTATCATAATAATAATAATAATTATAATTATCATTAAGCTCGTTGTTGTAATGACTAAATGATTATAAGCATTAGTACAAATGAACAATCAAACACACACACAACATCCCAAGGAAGAAATTTCTTTCCATTGTTTCAATCGGGAAATATACAACAATAAAAAATGTATGTATGCACGCATGTATGTATTTATGTATGTATGTATGCCTGTATGTAGAATCTCGAACAAAGCGAGAGTTTCCGTCAACGAGTGTTTCGGCCCTTTAATTTGCTGACACTCTCGAGAAACAGGGCCACATCCAGAGGTGTTGGATGTCTCTCGCTGAACAAACAATTTGCCTCGCTTTGAAATCACCTCCTTCTATACTGAAAAATTTTGTTCACGATGTATAAATATATCACGATGTGAGTTATATAGACGAACCAAGTAACACGCTAAGTAACACGAATCTAGGTGTGTTGGGTAATCGGAAGCCTTACGAGCTCGCAAGCTCGTCTGTTAACTATTTAAACTCGCATTCCTTTTTTTCCTACATAACCATATCCAGTAAGACGCGTGCTCAGCTGTACGTTCTTCATACAACTCGATCGTCTTTTACCTGCCAAACCCAAATCCTTCATAAAGCTGTACACCGAACAACCAACAAGACCTCTTGCACCGATCTCAACTGCGTACAACAAACACCTTAACAAGCTTCCTTCAACGAGTGTTTCGGCCCATAAACCTCCAAGCTCTTCATACTTGGCTGTTTTTATAGCGTGATTTGCTGCTGTATTAGCCTCATAAGGTACAGTCAGTTCGACTAAAATAACATTGTCTGCTGATACTGACTGTACCGTGTAAAAAGTATGTATGTATGTATGTATGTATGTATGTATGTATGTATGTATGTATGTATGTATGTGTGTATGTATGTATGTATGTAAGTATGTATGTATGTATGTATGTATGTATGTATGTATGTATGTATGTATGTATGTATGGTATGTATGTATGTTTGTATGTATGTATGTATGTATGTATGGTATGTATGTATGTTTGTATGTATGTATGTATGTATGGTATGTATGTATGTTTGTATGTATGTATGTATGTATGGTATGTATGTATGTTTGTATTTATGTATGTATATAATCTGTCAATCACGTGCCAATCAATAAACGGCTGAGATCTCACTCGCTAAATTGTGAGGTGTTAATGGTGTGGTGATGATTATGATGACGATGATGATGATGATGATGAAGAAGAAGAAGAAAATGGTGATAACGATGGAGATAACGTTGGTGATGATGATGATGACGGTGGTGGTTCTGATGTACATTATGTCAAAACTTTTAATCATAACTCCTTATTATAATCATCATCATCATCGTCAATTGTCATCATCGTCATCGTCCTCATCATTACTCTTCTTCATCTCCATCATCATCTTCATCATCATCATCATCATCTTCATCATCATCATCATCATCTTCATCATCATCATCATCGTCGTCGTCATCATCATCATCATCGTCGTCGATATTGTAATTTTAGCAGTTCAAAACTTATTTTTTCCGAGCGAAACAGTGAGTGCGTGAGTGAGGAATGAATACATAGAAATAAAACTTTGCTCCTCTTTTTCTCCTCTGTTTAGTCAATGGTGATGAATTATCGACTATAATTTAATGAATAGTGCAAAATGTCTATAGCGTGAAAATAAAAATGAATAATAAAAAAGAATAATGATAATAATAATAATAATAATCCAACTTCCAAACAACAAAAATAAAAATAACCACAACCCCTATACTTTTACTACTACTACTACTTTTACTACTAGTA